CTCGGTGAACAATGAGACATTACAAGGCGGATGTAACGAATCACTTACACGCCCTGCTCGGTTGAAAAACGTCCCTGTAATCGGTTACGTTGGGTATATCCGCATAGGTGACCTCGTCCTCCGGATCAGTGCCAGATTTATCCGCCTCTTCTATTGTCCGTACGTCCAATCTAGAAGCGCGTATAGATGTGTTACGATAATCAGTTGATGTAAAAATGTGGCGTTAAGATTGAACTTTATTGCGCAAAAACGTACGTATGCTTCTTTAAACTGATCGGTCGTTCTTTGGAAAAACTCTTTCTCAAGGAATTTCCATGACTAAACGGTGAACTCACGGCAGATATTCCTCCTAGTGGTGCAATCTTTTTCAAATCGCATATATACAGAACAACATTTGCGGTATGAAGACTCGCGCCGATCTGAAAAAATTTCCTGACTAAATAAAAGCAACATCGAATGTACATATTCGAAAGTTCAAAATCTAGCATTTTGTTTTACCAATTGGTTTTGAGCTATCGCTATATCCTGGACCTTTCCCCAGTTAGTCGGTATTGTATCTAGAGTCCTGCCCGGCTCCCAGCCATAAACCTTTAAAACATCGTGACTACCGGCAAACAGACATTCTCCGCCTTGACTAAAGTATAGGCACCTGTGAAACAGCGCGATAACAAAACAAATTAGTATGATTGAACAATTACATTGTAGGATCATTGTTTTGCAAACTCACCGGATGGCCGAAGAATGACTCTGTTCCGTGGAAGATACAAGCTGAAACGATTCTAAATCCCAGAAGTGCACAGTTCTGTCGGCGCTACCGCTAGCTAATAGGAATTCATGCGGATGAAACTCTACAGTTGTGGCCGGACCTCTGTGTTCTGAAAATTCCCTTAGTTGTCTACCGGCCTTTAGGTCCCACAGCTAATTTAAAAATAACATAAAAGTCAATGTCTTCTGTCTCATATATAAAATAGTATAGAAAAGAATAAAAATCATTCTATATATAAGATGATAAGAAGGCTTAAGATAACACATGATAAAAATATATTTTCCTGGGAAATAATATGACTCACCTTGACCATTCCTTCCTCCCCAGCACTGGCAATCCATTGTCCATCAGGACTGAACTTTAAACTATTCACAGTCCTATTATGTCCCTTGTACGTAAAAATACAGCCTTTCCTACGGATATCCCACAATTTAATCGCGGTATCTAAACTCCCAGATGCTAGCAACTCTCCATAAGGATGAAAGTCCATGCAACGTATCCCGGATTTGTGTCCCGTTAACGTGCGCGCTAACTTGGCATGCTCCAAATCCCAAATCTTCAACGCACCCGTCTGTGAGCCAGCACATACAAGATCTTCCGTTTGGCCAAAGCGTACGCATTCTATGGGAGTGGTGTGGCCACTTAGGCTCTGGAAACAGATAGATACAAATTTCATGTAATTTTTAACAAATTCAATAACATTGTTTGAGAAACAATTTAGTGTTTATAGTTCTTTCATGAAATAGTACTTTACAGAAATAAATATAAATTTAAATTTGTTCTACAAATCATTGTATTTAATCTTGAACTCAATAAAGATAATGGGATTGTTGCGCAACAATTATTACCATAATACAATTCTGCTTTCCAACGGCCCATAGGTTCACCTTTTTGTCGTCACCGCCTGTGACCAGAACACGACCAGATTTGTGGCCCAACGCCAAGCAATTGACGTTCGGTGTATGGGCGACGAATTCCTCTGTGCCAAAAAAAGAAAAGAATACATTTTACGCATACTGATTTATTCACGTTAATGTTATGCAAGAGATACAGTATAAAAGATTTTATAACACAAATAATTTTTGTTCAGATTGATTTATTTATGAATATATAAGGTGTAATTTTGTTTTTTCACGTTGGAGAAAAATCAATCTATTTACTAAATCAGAATCACCTGAGCAAACTGATCAATTCCATTTCTAGTAAATTTCTTAATTTTATTACCAGAACAGTTTATAACTTTTTATCAATTTTTTTCTATTTTTGATTTCATGGAATAGATAAATTTGATTTCTAGGAAATTCATTTGTTCATAAAACTACAAGCATGAAAATTTAAAATGTCAATCTTTCTGTTTCTCTAATAAATAATTTTCCATTCTGGGCTACAGGCTACAAGTCAATAAGTAAATCCTGATCACATAATTGAAAATGTCAAATTAAAATAGAATATAGATTATATATTTAGGTTGAAAAATTAAAAACATACATAATAAGCTCATTTCCATCAATAAGTAAAAACAAGTTAATAGTGTATTTAAAACATTTTTTAATTTAAATAAATAATCTATATATTTTTTTTGTTCCAAATTAATATTTTTAATTATAATTAAAACTTAACTTATTGATAATTTGTGATATTTAGCTAAGAATGGGAAATTACTATACATATATATTAGAGGAGCAAAGGTTGAACTAATGAATTTTCATGCCTGTAGTTTGACAAGCATCAAATAAAGTCAACTCTCTAGTCAACTATACAATACACTTCTTTTATTTAAAAAAGAGTATAACTGTCATTCCATCAATATAAATTATTCATTCGTAAAAACAGGCCCAAAAATTTCCATCTATTGCAATCTAGTTTCTGCTACCGTGTGAAAAAAACGACTTCTCATTTTCGCCGCGGGATAAATTCCCCGGTTGAGCGAGATGTAACCATAATTGGAAGAAACTGCGAGGTAGCAGCTAAAGTGAGAAAGTAAACAGAGACTGTTTACTCGCGGAGACCTCGCGGAAAAGCAGGATTCTCGCGGAGGAGAGAAAAGAAGGAAAGAAAAGAAGCGATACAGCGGGAAAGAGAGAGCGTGAGAGAACGCATGGCGTGCTCGCGCGCGCCAGGATATCCCTTTTCCCAATGAACAATGAGATCTTACGGAGCTTCCAGGACCTCCTCGTAGACGAGGCCATGTTCATGCCGCGCGCGCGGACTTATTTGGCAGCGACGGCGGTCCGTGGTCCCGGTTGGCGCACGACGTACGATCTCCTCTCGCTGTCGCCGCTGCGCGAACGTAACATGTTTACCAGCGGCAAACGGTAACAGCCTCCACTCTTCTCGCGGTCTCTCCTCTTCCTTCGGCGACCGGGCACCGCGGCGCGTGGCGTCGCGAGACGTCACGTCGCGTAGCGTCGCGTCGTTGCTCCCCGCCGGGGAGAGCGTAGAAAAAAAAAAAAAAGAAACGCGAGACGCTGTCCCGAGAGCGCGAAAAACGGATCACCTCTCTCTCACTCGGGAAACTGCCACCTTCTCCTCGCTACTGTCTCGTATCTCATCTCACGAACCTGTCACTATCTCACCGTCTCTCTCTTACTCTCGCTCCGCTCCGTTCGTCTGACAGTCTATCAGTGGCGCACGCAGTCGCGAGGCCGCGATCGTGTTCTTCTTCGTTAGATGGCGGTAATTGCGTTATCTATCACTGGTAAAATAAAATGGTTAATTGATTACCGACAATCGCTGGCAACACAAAGACCTACTGTTACCGATCTAATAGAGTTTTCTAATAATCAATGTCGATAATGTCAGCGTTCTTTAATTATCTCTGGATTCGAGACACCTTCGAACCTTCCCACTCTTCCCAGACATGGCACACAATATGAGGTTAATATGTTTTCATTATCGGTACATGTCAAATTATTGTATTATGTAAAGAAATTAACACATATATGTTGTATATAAATGCTATATTATTAATAAATTATTTATGTAAAATATAACTAACACATACAATAATTATATATATTACAGTTTAAAAGTCATTTTTGTGTATCGAGAACAGCTTACAAAATAAATAGATACTTAATATGTATGCAATTTCGAAATTTTGGTTCTAAGTTCTAATCATATTCAATCGCTCAGCAAGCGTTACCTAGCCGCTTTGCCGTCTTGAATTTGCCCATTGATCGCTATAGAATGTTTATGTTTATGTTTGTTTTTTTAGAATGTTTATTTTATAGCTGGGAATCGTACAATTTTGGTGCGCACTCAGTGATGAACGCTATGCCCACCCGATATCCGAGTACCACTCGCAGATATCACTCTATCTTTGTTGTTTACAAAATGTTAAACGAGGATGACTGGCAGCATCCGAATGGGAATCTGGACACGCCCTATGAATGACGCATGAAGTGCATGAAATATCATTTTATCCTTCTTTATTCCTCGGTGAACAATAAGGACGAATGATGTATCATGCGTTTTGTGCGTAATTCCAAATAACATCCGAAAATATACTTGGCATTCCTTGGATTGAGAGAAGGTGAGAGGGAAGTAAGATCAGGAATTGTCTTGTGCTCTTCCCCGCCGTACACTTTTCACATTTATTTTACAATCAATACGAAGATAAACAAGTTCACACGCATAAAAGATATTAATCTAAGATTTGAAACCAATCGATCACACTATACGAAAATAGAATGTCTTCTAAAGAAATTTCCGGAGGAGCTATTGGAAGTGAGAGTCCCTCGATGCCACTCTACATGGTATATTCAATAAGACGCGTGCGAATGATAGCACAACCTCAGAACGAGGTTAAAGTTTTTTTTGCAACAGTTGGAATAATAATGTTAGCTGTTGTGCTCATAATGGGTATTTATCACGTTATTAAAAATGCATAATATTTATATGATGTTTATATAATACTCGCTTTAACGTTTATTGCATCAATGTTTATATAGAGGAATATAATTGATGTATTATGTGTATGTAATTGATGTATTTACGCTACAGTGTGATATTAAACTGTGATACAGACTGAACGCAGCTTAAGTAATAATTTACGAATCTGATCATGGAACAAAATCGAAATGGGTTCCGATCGGAACTATTTCGTTTTTCCTAAAAAAAACACAACAGAAATGTACAGGAAATAGTTAGGAGGTTATAAAAATAATTTTTCCTGACAAACTTTCTACATTGTTTTTCTTCAATATTAATAGATTACTTTAAGAAAGAAAAATTGAAGAATTGAAGTCCTTATATTGTGATTATTATTGAATTCAAATTTACCAAAATGACGTCCATACTTTGTATGCGTATTGGCTTTGCAGCCAGCCAAAAATTTCTTTTATCCAATATTCTCGGGAGAAATTACGTGACATATATTCAAGGTCAATCTCCTCAACCCCGTGTGCGAGAGTACTTCTATTATATTGATCATCAAGGCATGGTATTTTTCATTTTATCTCTATCGAAATTATCTCTCTATTTAGTTTTTTCACTGGTGAAACATATTTTCTCAGATTTTTATAAACGCTTTCAGAAGTGCCGAGGAAATCTACATCTCTTTTAAAATTCTTTGGATATGTTTTCATCATGAATATTCATCTGAAATATTTTAAGATTTTTCATTCTGTAATTTCTGATAAAATCTTATAAATTCTAAGAAAGTATCAAGATATTTTTCTTTGAAATTATAAAATGAGAAATCTTAGGAGATTTCAGAATTCATGTATGAAAAATTGTAAAAAAAAAAGAACCATAGATTTTCTCAGTATCTCTGTAAAGTGTTTGAATTTGAATAAAAATTCTGGGAAAAATATTCAGGGTAATAAATGAGGGTAACAAATATCTCATGAATAACTTTATAATATCTATTACAGTTGTTCCTGGATGATGTCCGCATAAGGAATTTCACCTCCTGTTTTAAAGGTATACACCAATGTTTACATCAACTGAAAACATCTTTTTAATAAATGTTGCAACTGTTACAGATAAGAAATTCCTGGCATTCTTTTTCAAGCGCATGAGGAAAAACGATACTGAACACTACACAGACGACTTTCCATTCTTATCAATTTGTGGCGTAGAAAGAAATTATGTAAGATGTGACGATTTGCCATTGGTTTTTACAAAGATAATCCAAGAGTGTAACGTAGAAACTGGTGCAGAAGAGGACTGGTTTAGTTACGCGCACGCAGATGACTTATTAATGGTAATTTCACAGAATCAGCTAAATATAGTCATATATGTCTAATCTGCAGATAAGACAACTTGATAATTTATCAGATTTATTTAGTGGATAAACAAAAGTAAGAGAATGAGTTGAATTTTATCGAAAAATGAAATAATTTTAGTAAAGTTACAATTTTAACGAGTTTTACAGACGCTGTAATAATCAACAAATTTGTCGCAGATGCCTTTCGAACCACAAAGATTATTTATGAACATTAAAACAGGTAGAGTGTATCATCCTGCACCAGAGAAAATTGGCGGGATTGGTTTAGTGAGATCCAATTTAGCTATTGAGTTCAGCGCTTTGTTCAACTTTGAAAACGGCGAGGAAAATGCGCCGACACATTTTGTGTGGAGAAACGAGCGATACCAACTCGATACAGAATGGTATAAAGACAAACTTTCATAAATACATAAAAATAACAAAACTTTTTTATGATTTATAAGTACATTGTGAAAAGGAATATTGTGAGGCTTTTCCGAGTTAAACACTGATTGTTGATGTGTAGTTAGATTTATTCCATATATTTGATAACAAACGTTTTGATCCATGATTCAGATTCTTCTACCATAAAACAAAATTCCTCAACTTTACCATTATGCTTCCCAGTACACTGCACAATCATAATATTATATACATTATACTATTCGATTTGAATTACTTCTTTATTTAATTTTGTTTTTACATTGCTAATTGCATTATAATAATTCTGAATTAAAACTTACATGGTAAATCAGTGAACTTTAAAGATAACAGTCTATTATCATGTCAAGTTAGAATATACATTTATAAATAAGAAAGTAAAGAAGTTATTAAGGAGAGAGAAACTCATTTGTTTGTAAATAAATACTCAAAAGCCTTATCTAATAATTCTGTATCTATTTGCATTTTAAACTATATATTCTTTTGTTTGTGTATTAAAATCATTTCTGATATTAGTCTTTCGTCTAGAATTTTTTCCTCGTCAAGTATTTTTATATTGTTCCAATCGAAATCATGCGAGTATTCTATGCGATGTTTTGTAAATGCTCATCTATTCTCGTTTTTAATGTCCTACTCGTCTGTCTTATACATATGTATAGGAAACACAAAGAATGTGTAGCAACAATTCTTTGCATGATATTTTATATATCACATACGTATGCATCATTGTCTATAGTTTGTCCTTCTGTACTTTAATAATACTATTAAATTTATTGATACCTTCATATTTTGACTGTTTTATATTTGTTTAAAAAATTCTTTATTTTATTCGAAATATTTGCTACAAACGGTATTGTAAAATAATTTTGTTTTTTATCTGTGATATTATCATTCTTCTTATTAGATATTACTGGGTGCTTTCCAATTGATGACACAAATCGACACAAGTATCGTTCTATCTTTGTCAATCTCTAAATGTCAAGAAAGATAGAACGATACTTGTGTCGACTTGTGTCATCAATTGGAAAGCACCTACTGTGTACTACATGAGCTGAATTTTTTGTGTAATCTCTTTTTAATAGTAGTAAAAATAAAATGTAATGGATAACTATTTTGTAATAAAATTGTTAAAATCTTATCAAAATTTGTTTTATGAAAGAAACGATAAGATAATTGTAATACTCTGTTTGTTAAATTAGTTAGAACTTCTATTTTATGTACTAATGGATGTTGAGAAAAATAAAAAGGATGATATATCATAATTGTATTACTCTGTCTGTTAGAACTAGTTATAACTCCTATTTTATGCACTAATGGATGTTGTGAAAAATAATTTAAATAGCATCCTGAGGAAGTTGGTTTCTAATAGCAATCGTAAATAATAGAATTGTTAGATTTTATCAATCACATTTAAACAATTCAGTCTATCATTATCCTCCTCCAGTGTAAATTTAAGTCTTAAGTAGTAACTATTGAAAGTATGACCGAGTTCATTAATATATGTTTTATTAGTTGCTAATGTAATATCGTTCACATAGCGTACATAAAACGTTGGATTAATTATCAATTTATTTAAACAATTTGATTCTAAAAGTCCTTTAAAACTATGTCAGCTATGATTGGTGATAAGGGAGAGCCCACAGATACATTAAATGTTTGTCTATAATATTTTTCAAATGTAAAAAATGTAGAGCACCAATTGTATAGCATTAATAAACTCAGTCTTAGTTGAACACGTAGTATTACAAATATTATGCCATCTATTAATTCTCTCTAATACTAGATTAATGGAACGTGTAAAGAGAAAAACGACATCCAATGAATACAACGCATCATAATCATAGATTTTTAATTTTTAAATCTTTTTTATAAGTTGGAAACTCTTTGTAACAACATTATTAGATTATGGTAAACTTTTTTTCGAAATACAATGCAAGAATATCGCTAAATTATGCAACGGACTACCGATATATGATAATACATAACGAACTATTTGCTAATGTTTGTGTATTGCTTACCGATAAACAAAGTTTTCTCCAAACTTCAGAAGTGCTTGTAGTACATCAGTAAGGATAGATATCTTCTTATATATACTGAGATTTATAAACCAGTGTTTGACTTGGAAAGACATCACCATATTTCTTAATTTATTTCAACTGAGTCTAATCAATATTTTTTACACATTGTGAAACTATACAAATTCTTGAATAATTGGAGCGTAAGATTCAAGATTTGCTCAGATAAGCTTTAATGGTCACACATCGTCTATTAAAAAAGTTATTGATAAAGAATATGCAAACAAGCGTTGAATGAAATAATCTGAAGATTAGGAATTTTACAAAGAAATTATCTGTATATTTATTATAATTGCTGGGAAAAATGAAACCCCTGCATTTCCACTCGAAAATATTCTATTCTATTCGAATTTAATTCTATAAAAAAATCAGGAAATCTTGTTTATTTAATAATTTGCTCAGTCTTAATTTCAGTAATACATTTATTCCTCCTTTTTACAGTTTTATCAATATATATATATTTTTATAAATCACTTGCGAAAATATATTACAAATTCATATATGCTTATATATACGTCTATATACATGTATTTTTATACTTTAATATCCTATATCTTCCATCATATGTTAACATATAGATGAAATATCAAAGATCCTGGCAGTACCATCGTCGGAAACTGTTACTGCTTTCTTCTCATCACTGAAAAGTTACGAAATGTATTAAATACCATAGAAGAGATCGAATATATTTCATAAATAGGAAATTTACAGAATTCTTTGACAATGCCAGATTCTCAAAATATCACAAAAAATTGAATTAATTTTAATTGTTCGAGAATTAGCGATATAGAATTATAAACGCTTATTAAAATTTACGATTAATTCAAGTTATTTTTTGATGTTACATGATGACTGTCCGAATTTAAGGAAAGTTTACTTCGAACAAGTATAATTAATCTACTTGTAGAATATTTTTCCATGATACTAACAATTTTATATTCTATTCTTTTCTTACGCAACTAACACAAATTTGCTTATTAATGGTTTACCTGGATATGCATATGTCATATAAAGCCCCTCTATGCCCAGAGAATACTCGAAGGTAGTGACCTGCTCTTGCATCAAAACATCTTAGTTTACAATCTAATCCCGCTGTAAAAAATATCGATGTCTTAGTCCAAACTAATTTTGAGACACCTCCTTCTTGATTTATCTCGTGCCTAAGATTCTGAAAAGGAATGAGATTTAGGACTTGTTAATATTAAAAAAAAAAAAGAAATTCTAGATATAAATATAAAGAATAATACTTGTTTGGAAATATCCCATATGTAAATTTTTCCACATGTTTCACTCGTGACTGTTGCACTTGCAGCAGCAGGGAATGTAGGATCTTTACAAAACGCTACAACCTCTACATGGTCTTTGTTATCGCCATGTTTATTTAAATCTTGAAGTATACAAATCACCTGAAAAATATTTTGTTATCAAGTTACTCTTAAGTTACGAATCCGGATGCCGCGTGAGTATATAAGAGCAGCAAACTCATAATTAGTAGATCTACGGACTTAATCTCCATATAATTTCGTAAAAATTAATTAGATTTAGATCGTTTTTCTTTATATTTTGCTTCGTAAAAATTATTATCCTGCAAAATAGATAGACATAAGGTTGACTTTATCTCATAATAAACTCAATTATAAAAAAATATGTTTGAAAAGGTCTGCAAGCTCTGATTTTGGTTACAGTTTAAGCTACAAATCAGCAATAGACAAAAATCTTAAATAACTGATGACAGTTACTTTAATCTTTATACAGATAACAAAAAAATAATAATTTTATCAATTAATAATCCTTTCTTTTCAAGGAATGAAGAAAATAAAAGTTTCTTATACCTTGCCATTATGTGCTGTACTTAGAATAGTCTGACTTTCCATTGACACCGAAATCAATAGATTATTATCCATGTAACAATCAAGAGCAATGATAGTGCTTGAATGCCCATGTAATCCTGTTTGGTCAGGGGGAGTGGTGGATATTAGAGTGTTCGATTTTAAATCTATTACGTGAATCATACCATTTTCATATCCTATTGCAGCACGTTTCCCTGCAAGATTTAGATTAGTGCTCTCTTGAGTAAATCTAAGATTCCTATCACTTACCATCTGGAAGAATTACACCAGCCTCTGTTTTAATACCGGTACCCTGTGCGAAGATTTTGCAATCATCCTTTCGTGTTTTTAACATATAAACTTCTCCTGTTTCGGTACCTGTTATTAAGATATCACTGAAAGGATGCCACTTTATCCACTAGATAATGAAAAAAGAGATTATTAATAAATTATTATAACTGCTTATGTTTAAAAGAACAATAAGTTTATTACTTAAAGTTGAATTTTTTGTACTTATCATTTTTTTGTACTTTTCTTTAAACTATTGATTTCCTTAAGACACAATTGAAAATCACAGGCAATAAAAATAAAAAATAACAGATTTTAATCTATCAGAAATCATGTATACTAGGATATACAGTTTCTGATTAAAATCTGTTATTCCCTTGTTCCTATTACCTTTACTTTTCAGTTGATCAAATTGTAATTAAATTATTTTATTTGTAGCTATATAAAAACAGTTTTAATAATTGTTATCTAACAATGCTCACATTAATGTCATTCATTAAGACAGTTTCCCAGACACAAGTTTTGTCACTTATCCGCCACAATTTTATTTTGCCACACATATCAGCTGTGGCTAGATATTTGTCGTTGTAATTAAATTCGGCAAATATAACACTATCGTCATGGCTGCCATCAGTATTGAAAATACTCTCACCCGTGTTGGTATTCCAGAGGTATCCTTTGTCATCCTCACCCCCTGTTGCCATTAAGTCACCATTTTTACTTAACGAGCAACAAAACACTATATGATCTAAAATCAATTTAAAGATAAAAAAGTTTCTGGTAAGAGACACAAACAATCTAGTATAACTCAGTTAATCATTACATTCTTGTTTGTCAATGTTAAACTACAAATACTTTTTATTTGATGGTACAAGTTGACACAAGAGTTGTTCTATCTTTGACTGTTTTTCTTTTAGGAGACATAGTTAAAACAAGTATTCATTTTTCTTATTTATTGCCAAGGACAGAATAATGTTTATGTCAATTTGTGTCACTAATGATACATTCTACTTAAAAGTATCCGAAGACAGAATAATACTTGTGTCGATTTGTATCACCAAATAGAAAGCATCCAATGCTTTGCACATTAATCAGTCTCAAGTGAAGATCAAAGGCTTTCTTACGAGACTTGTGGCCACGAAAAACACGTATAGCATTGTCTACGTTGTCCTCCTGCATAAGAGCATCTGTTTGTGGATTCTCATTTTCATTGTCAGACGAACTCGAGCTCTCGAAAATCGGATCATTCAAATCAATAACCTCCTCAATATCATTCTCTTGAATCATTTCTTCATCCAAAAGATCTTCCACTTTAGATGGAGACGGTAGAGTACGTTTGTCTTGCATCTATTTAAAAAAATCACAATTAATCAGCTGTTTAAATCAATTAGCAAACCTAATACTGACTAGTACTGACCATTACGAAATAAATGCGAACGAACGAATAAAAATATTTTTAATTTTCCTGAATCCCTGTGGCACGCTAAAATATTGAAACACGTATTCACAGCACGTGGATTTCAAACAACACTAGAATTAGTAGACTAGAATCTAGAACCATAATTAGAACCTAGAATAGTCAGCAGATCAAAACCAATCAAAACAGAATGGAACCCACTTGATCCCGGATCTACAAAGTTTTAAGGGTCGACACTGTCGACAGGAGTGACTCAGAGACCTCTAATCGAAGATGAATTTTTTATTCCCAAATTACGGCTAAAATACTGGATGGATCGCGTTTTAATTGTGATATTCGTAATTAGGAAAGGCTCTTGAAGGCTCGTACAGAGCTATTTTTTTGTAAAAAGGCATAATAAAAATTTGTTCTGTTATCGCACTCGATGTGTACTATGGTGCAGTTGAGAGGTGTATACATGATCTTATTTTAATAAAAATTTTCAAATTTGTAAATCTGACTCTGTACGAGCCTTCCCAGCAATATAACAATGAAATCCCAACAGGTTTCATAAGGAAATATTGTTTCTTTAAGAAGAAAAATGAGCATAACTGACCCAGATCTGCACTGATTTGCACTCATAAATGTATACCTTTATGCTGAAATTATGGCTAAAATATAACATGAATCGTGTTTTGATTGTGATATTCGTAATCAGAAAAGGCTCCTGAAGGCTCGTACAGAGCTATTTTTTTGTAAAAAAAAAAGGCTAACAAAAATATTACAGGAGTGGAGTGGGTCACTCCTGTCGACCCTTAACTAATTACAGTCGAATTCGAAGAGAATAATCGATTATGTTTCCTTATGGCTTAAAACTCTATTGTAGACGTATAATATATAATGCATAAGAAAATGTACCAATCAAAGTTCTTCGTTTCCTTTCTTTCTATGAAATAAAGAACTCTGATTGATTGAATTTCTTATAGGCCTTCTACAATAAGCCATTACCTAAGTTTTAAGTATTAAGTCATAAGAATTGACCACTCACAGTCGATTATTCTTCTCACATTCGATTGTAATTGGTAAATTTTTTATGATTTAACATTTAAAACTTAAGTAATGGCTTATTGTAGAAGGCCCATTATGCTTTATGCAAATCCTGCAAGTCTGTGCTCCCCGCTTTATAATAGAAATAATACGGAAGTTTGCTGCCCACTAAACTCTAAAACCTTCTCAATAAATTTGGCGGCTAAAATTTAATTTAGAGAATCTAGATTAAATGAGGAATAAAATTCAATTTTTAATTTTACTGTTATAAATTCTCTCATTGTAATTTTAATTTTTTTTTGTTACAAAGATTATACGTAATGTATCTTATTTCTAAGCAACGTCAAATGCACATAATTGTAAATATTATGTGTGGGTCAATATTAAATATTTCTATAATAAGGAATGAAATAAAAAAATGTACATGCTAATCAGCTTTTATTTAACAACTATGTCAAACTTATTTTAAAGAAAAACAATGCAACATTATGTAATAAGCTTTCTGTACATATTTGAACTTTACGTTAATATTTATATATTATATGCATATGTATATATATATATTATATATATACAACACATTCATACACCATACAGTCCATAAATAATGCTATTATAAAGATCTGTGATAATGTCACATATATATAAATATATATATATATATAATAAATGATTTAATATATATATGTATATACACATAAGATAAAATAAGACACAAATAAAATTTCACTCTTAAATTAATCTGAAGTAAAGGTCAGATTAAATAAATTTTTTTAATTTGTGAGAGATTATAAACTCTAAATATAGATTTTTTAAATTAAGGTAGTACACTCGCGAAATAAAGAATTTCTTGAAATTGAAACTATACGTTGTATTAGAAGACTTTAACACACTTGTGCAATTACAATTAGATTGACTTTTTTAATATTGAAACATAAGCAATTAAAAACTGTACTTTTTTGTATATGTATCACTCACTTATACAAAATTCATAAAAATGTCACATTTATTTCTGTAGGGTCTAAATTAGTAGCTATATGTTAATAAAAAACGAGCATGCAATAGAAGAACATGAAATGGATATTGTAAAAAAATGTCATAATTTTTTTTACCGTAATGTAATTTTCGATTTTGTTTGGTGTAAAGAGACGACTGGAAGGAAAATGGAGGGAATGGCCAGTGAGCATCTAACATCTGCGTCTATTTGTATTCATTTTTTTCTTTCCGTGTAAGTGTGTGGCTTGGACGCAGTCAAAAGTTTTCTGATTGGCAGTAGTGGGATATCGTCAATAAGTGCGTGATGAGACTTAACTTTTGGATGGTATTGTCTGATATTGTCGCGAGAGTATTATCTTAAAATCATATAGTAATGTAACAGAGATATTAAAGAGTAATTCTAAATTTTCCACATTTTTGAAAGCCTGTAACAGTAAAAAAAAAATTTAACTGAATGAAAAAGACTCAGATTATAAATGAAGGGAGTAAAAATACGATTGCAGATGGAGAATTAATTTAGAATTTGATAAAGATAACACGCTTATTATAATTTCTACATAGTAGAAGTTCATCTATTTAAAACTCGCTCAATTACGAACTGTAGTTTCTTATTAAATGCCTAAATTTCACTTCATTATTCCGCCTTTAATAACTTCTTCTCTTTTCTTTTAATAGGATTCTTTTTGCAGTCACTATAAATATTATTGAGATCGAAAGCAGCCTTTATATTGTCCTGAAAAATCAAAATAAATAAATAAGCTAGAATTACATAAGTTACAATTTTAACAAAATAGATGACAACTTACCAGCGAGAAAAGAAATTTGACAAGTTTTCCTTTATGATCCGCATATGGACGTCGCTCTACTTCCTTGCCATCTTTAAAGAGTATTAGCGTTGGCAGCTGCTTGCTTGTGCTGGCATCGCTGACGTGATACTTTGCCGCGGCATCAGGATGTCTTCCAACATCCACTTTACCGAATTTGAAGTTCTCCAATGCATATCTAAATTACAATTATTTTCAGTGATAGTAAACATACCGAGTATTTTCTCGTAACAAAAAAGAGAAATTAGATTATATATAATCGCGTTCAGTAGAATGTTTATTTTGTATTTTCTAAAAATTTTTTTTATTTGTAGAGAAATATCCTGTAAACTTAAAAGTATATTTAAAAGGTATATTTTAAAAAATGGTTTTTTATATAGATTAATAATATTATTCATCCTCTGATTGTTTAATTAAAGAATAAGATAGTAATATTTTGAAATTAAGTATATTTAATGTTACATAAGAAGAAATAATCAAACAAATAAATAAAATTATAAATATAAGTATATATAAAATAAGTGTGTGTGTGTGTGTGTGTGTGTGTGTATAATACTTCATTCCATATAACACACATCTTTAGCATTTAATTTAATTATATATATATATATATATATAATTAAATTAAATGCTAAAGATGTTATATGGAATAAAGTAATATTTTATACAGTAAATAAAATAAATACAGTATATAATAAAAAATTAAAGAGAATCTCGTCAGTACCAAAAAAACTTTCAACATTTGCAAAATATGGCTTATATTTAATTAAATCACTTACTCTGCAGAGAGTTCAGAAAATATTGGTGCAAAGGTTACACAAGCTGGATTCCATGCAGTGTAAAATGCAACTAGCCAGACCACTCTGGTGTTACGTTGTAATTCTTCCTGCAATCCAGTGGCTCCACGTAGATAGACGACGTTTTCAGGCCCTTGATACATCGGTTCTGGCAACACTAATGCGAATACTGCACACAAAGTGCTATTAGATTACTTGTAACATAATGGTTTCTAATTCACAATAGTACAGTGAGTTAACTATTGGCTAACTGTTGTACTGTTTATGGAAAACAATTAAAATTATCTTGTATCCATATGCTCAGTTACACACATTGCCATAGACTTTCCATAAACAAAGTTAGCCAACATTTTGTTTATTGTATACTCTTGTCCATAGTCTTCTCTTACATATAAAAATAAATGCGTATAGAATGCCCATTCGTACATCTGCGTAGAACCACAGGATCAAATTTGCTCCTTTTGTATACATGAAACTAGATGTCAAGTAATTAATCATAGTTACGCTGCCAGTTTTTCTTGTCCTTATCATGACGACAGTTATGAGGAAAAAGAGAATCTGTGTCTCCCTCTAAAAACACAAGTAATAAAATAAATGAATGTTAATTCTCATCTATAATTATGAAACCTAAGTCTAGAATATTCTTTAATTTAAAGTATAGAACAAAAGTGAATCTTTGTATTGTAGCAATTGATAAAGATTTTTTTGTCTACAATTTGGAACCTCATAGCATTAATCATATAGATAATGTATAATTCATAAAAAATATTCACTTTAAATCTAAATAACCCATTGCATAATCAAGAGTTAAAATCAGAATTGTGTTATGCATAAAATATAATAATTTATATCTATGTATATATAAAACAAATTATATAAACTATTTTCTATATCACTTATATAAACAATCCATGGATCGTCAAAACTCATTTTTTATCATTGCATTGAACTCCTATTTTATATTTTTTACATTATTACTAAAGTCAGATAAATCAGTAATCATAAAATTTAATCACTTTTTTCTGCATTGCATTATGTAATTTATAATTTATACATTTTATACAATGCTTGTATTATCTACATGAAAAAGATTTGTGTAACACAATATAAATACGAAAAATTTTATACAAACAACCTTGAGAAGTATGGCATAACCTTGGTTAAAATTATATTGCCAATTAGCATCACTTACCCCATCAAACTCGCAGCCGTCTTGAGCAAATATATAATTACAGACTACAGGAAGGCGTTTGGCGATAATGTAGGAGACACTGAGAAGGATATTTATCAAATAGTATGGCTTCACAAGCAGCCTTAGATCCTTTTTGAATGACATTTCATATAATGGAAATGTAAAGGATAATTTGTACAATTAGTAAATGACACCTGAGGTGCTCAGTATACACTCGAGATCTTCTAACTAATTAATGTTAAACGACGATTATTATACGATTATTGTACGATCTGTCTCGTAAATTTCTCTTATCTTCTTCTTGGACAATTCCTATAATCACTATCTTGTACACATGATGAGTGAGATGTCAGTTATATTCATTCATGTCAACGAATGGAAAATGTGTCTATGCAATGAAAGTACAAAAGTTAAAAACGAGATCACTACAGAAACGCCTAATTTCTGTGTATTATTATGCGTGCGTCGTGTCAAGTGTCAAGTTCTATTCATAGCAACTCACACTTTATAGCAACAATAGCAACTGTCTGTTTTTTGTTCCTGTACCACAGCATACCACAGTGTACACACGGTGCAATAAGTTGAAGTAAAACAAATATTTAGGGAGAAATCTAGGGGTTTTTTTCAGTACCCTTAGGGATGTTAAGGCCGCAGCACACACATTCCACAGTACACAGTTCTGATAGGTTAAAATTCTTATATTTAATATCTGTTCCTAATATTTGTCCTATTGTGCGCAGCCCTATGTCCTATTTGAAATACTTTTATTTGAAAAATGATATTTGTAAGACAATTGTGTAAGATATCAATTAAGATCTACGTGTTAGGCTGTGTGGCTCCGCGACAAGGCGGTGGCTTTGTGTTTCGAACTACATACGAGAGGTCCTCGGTTCGAGTCCCGACATCGCGTCGAGCGTCCGACATTTTTTCTCGGCCCAGCTTACAATTGTATCTTATATTTGTATTTAAACAGAGAACATAAAATGTTTCCTATTTTATGAGTATATATAAAAATATTTTGTATTTTGTATTTTAGTATTAATAACTAAAGATTGAAAGTATTTTATATTTTGTATTTCAAATACTAGGATTGACAATTAATCTTATTATTTAAATTAAGAAATACATGAAACTTTCAACATTTTAATTTTAAATACAAAATATGTAATATTTTTATGTGCTCTACTGAAATACAAAATATAAAATACACTTTTATTGCAAAAATTTGTAACGACATTTCATCTTTAACGTTGGCAAACAATTAACAAGTATATGTAATGATTTACTGTGTTACACTGTGTCTGTTACTGGAAGACTCCAAATATAAAACCAGCAAAATTACAAATGTTTCTACCCTCATCAGGTCTCTCGTCATTATATAATATTCAAACATATAAAGTATATATAATGGTTACATATAAGACATTCTTTTGTACATGTAAAGTTAAATATAAAAAGTTTGATCGCATCTTATATTATAGAATTTACATTTTTAGCGCATGTAATTTTTTCCCAAAAAAGTTCTTTTGTTGTCATGTGATTTTTAAATCTACGTGTCACATAGTACTATATTTTCTCATATTAATTTTCAAAACTGGATAGATGGTAATTAAAAAAGCTAAAATTATTGTATATTTAATTCCATCATCATGAACAATTTGAGGATATCAAAGATTCAAAATAAAAATACGAACGTTGCTTTCTTAAACTTATGTTTACGCAATAGAGGTTTAACATACGATGCGTTCCATTTTTCGCATGGTGTGCTTAATGCATGGTTTATTCTTGTTGCTCATCTAATATTAAACAAGGACATTGGATGCATCATGCACATCATGTGCTATACAGAACGCATCTATAGTAGTGAATCATTACATCCTTGTTGTTTGCCTAAAGTTAATCGAAACCCTATATATTAAACAAGGATAAAACGATTCCCTGTATTGTACAGTATTGCACAGTATCTGATTGTCCTTGCTGAAATGCATTCACTGTGTATCAGTCACATCCTTGTTGTTTGTCATCAATACTAAACAATTGGATGAGATAATCACTGTGTTGTACTGTGTCAGTTGTTGGAAGGCACATATAAATTATTAAATTATAATGCAATTTTTTTTCTGCATGTTTTTTTATTATACACATATTTCATAAATAAGCATTTAGCAGGAAATCTATATAAATTGCTGTCCCTTTTTCCATAGTTATGGAGCTATATATGAACAAATTAAATAAAAATTAATTATATTATAAACTAATTTTCTAAATATTAATTCCAAAAATCGGTGGTCTTTGATAATATCAGAATGTAAGAACAATTGAGAACGGTACCTGTGCGCTAACAATGGTTTTTTTTTACATTCTGTATATATGATCAAACATGTGTGCTTGGTGCAATGTTTACATGGGTTGGATTCGAGGAGATTAACGCTATCATTCTCTATCTTCGTTGTCTGTTAGATGTGAGACAATGATAGTAAGTACTATATAAATGGCGTTGATAATACGCTGCCCGAACGCAGCTATGATTAATATATCTACCCATTAAAGAAATATTAACAATATGATAACATAATTACAGTGAGACTCAGGGCAAGTGTAATAATACGAAAAATAACGTAATCCAATAGATTCATATGGGTAATTTCCAGACAAACAAAATTCATAATTTATCATTGTAGTTGTTGGTTATTAACAATGAATCGTTATCGTTGAGCGATATTTGAGTCTATATTTACTTGTAGCAATATTATCAACTATATAATATATTTCCTGTTTAGATAAAATATCAGATATTTTCCCCTTCTATGCTTTTTGTTGTATAAGTCAATGCTGTTTAATGCCTCCATAGATACCGTGCAAACAATTCAGAAGCTGTAGACAGAAATTGCAGGATGAGGATAGCCAGCTTTGCAGGAATTTTATTGCTTCTTGAAGCTTATTCGTTTGTGAATGCAATTAACGAGAAGCAGAATCCTGACATTCTCGACAGTAGCCATCCTATAATAGTGGTCACCTGGGATTACAAAAATGCAACGGAAAAAGGTATATTAATTAAAATATTTGTGTCAATTTGTCAAGAGTAAAAGATATGTAAAATCTCTGCTAATTTAAAGACACTGTTAATTATTTAAGCCTGGGATGTAATATATAATCAAAAAAGAAGTGCTTTGGACGCAATAGAAGAAGGATGTTCCTTGTGTGAGGAGCAGCAATGTAGAAAGACTGTGGGATTTGGTGGCAGTCCGGATGAATCTGGAGAAACTACGCTAGATGCTCTCATTATGGACGGGTAAAGACAATTAAAGTAACAAAACAACTTTATTCTTATTTCATTAAATTATACTGGTGATATATTTAAAAAATGTAATTTTTTTGATAGAACAACAATGACCGTAGGAGGAGTAGGAGGACTACAAAATGTAAAGAATGCTATTTCAGTCGCTCGCAAAATATTGAAACACACAAAGCATTCCTTGCTGGTTGGAAATTTAGCTACAGAATTTGCTGTGAATATGGGATTCAAGCAGGAGTCTTTACAAACGGATGAGTCCAAGAAGATGTGGACACAATGGAAGGCGAACAAGTGTCAACCCAACTTTTGGAAGGTATTGAGAGAGATTATATTCTTTTTGAGCACATTTTGTTTTATAATTATTTCTGTGATATTTTTGGTACATATCTAGAATGTCACACCAGATCCAACAAGTTCCTGTGGACCATATTGCCCAATCGACATAGAAGATGACAAAAACGAGGTAGTAGGAAGCGAGGAAAATCATGATACGATCGGTATACTCGCGATAGACTCACAGAGGCGAATAGCAGTTGGAACATCCACAAATGGCGCCAAGTATAAGATACCTGGGCGCGTTGGGGATTCTCCTATTCCAGGAGCTGGCGCATATGCCGTTCAGGACATCGGCGCAGCTGCTGCTACCGGTGACGGAGATATTATGATGCGATTTTTGCCAAGGTAATATTATATATTAATACAAACTTTTATTTTCAAATATATTTTAATGAACCAGAATATAAGTTTATACATTTTATTTTAATTTTTATCTTAACTTTCTTACTTTAATTTATAAAATTTGTTTAGAAACTTAAAATTGATGTCTAGTGTAACACACAGTATATCTTACCATTACAACTGTTAAAATTAAAAATTGAAAATTTTTACAGCTTCCTGGCAGTAGAGGAAATGCGTCGTGGACTAAGTCCATTAGAAGCTGCTAAGAATGCGATTTTGAGAATTACCCATCATTATCCTAACTTTTTCGGCGGGGTGATTGCATTGAATGCAAGAGGACAATACGGAGCAGCATGTAATGGGATGTTGGTGTTTCCTTACTATGTCGCACATCCTACCTTAGGCCCTAAATTACATTCCGTTTATTGCAACAATTATTCGCAATGTGATGGATCTGGTGAAACTTGTTAATTTGCACATTTGTTCAAACTTTAAAGTGATAGTTATTCAAGTTTACTTACCTTCATTAAGAATTAATCTGGGATATGATCTTTTATTACTGTCTCACAAACCTTAAGATATGTTAAACTTGACATTGAAAATATACGAAAAGACTTCTATTATGAACGGATAATAAAGACAATTAACATAACAAAAGTAGCTTCCTTGTTTCGTTAAATTGTACCAGTAGTTATATTTGAGAAATGTATTCTTTTCCATAGAGTGATGATGTATGTAGATTTAGTAGGATTATGGAACGTGGAAAATATGTAGAAGGCGGATAAGTGCTAACTAAACTTTTGGAAGGTATTGCGAGAGAAGTTATATGCTCTTTCAGCACATTTCGTTTTACGATTATTTCTTAGTTATTCTTACTGTATCTAGAATGTCGTATATTGGATCCAACAACTATATGCATGTGGACTGTATTCTGCGAGTAATATAGAAAATGATAAATGCGCTAAAAGGAAACGAGAAAAATCATGATCATATAGGATATAATCACGATAAACGCATAGGGATGTATAACAGCCGATACGTCCACAAATACATCGATGAAAAAAAAATCGTACAGAACTCAACAAAAAAGCAAATTAAAGGTAAAGATTCATTTTTTCGAAAGCGGTAAACGGCATTTGTGCATAATTTTCAATTCGTGCCGTGCAACATCACAAATTTCGTATAAAATTTTAAGATTCATTTATACTTTTGTAATTTCGACTACGATCGATCGATCGATTTGATGCGACAAATGCTTCGAAGCATTAAAATTACATAAACTTTAAATGTTACAATAAAATAAAGTTTAATGACTCTCAAAATTTAAAATTCAAAATATAAAACCTATGTATTTATTCAATATACATTGGTGTACAGGCAAATAGAGTCAAAATGTTAGTTATAATTTAACAATTTCATATTCATTTGATTTCGCATAATTACGAAATTCGAACTTCGAAGCATTTTTTAATTGGTCAATTAATAGTTTTTTCTTTCGATTAGTCAATCAAAAGTTTCGAAGCATTTGTAGCGCCAAGTGGACCGCATCCTCTATGAAATATCGGCAACACTGTTTTTTGAAGTACCAGTCTGAAAAGTAGAGATTTCAAACTTTAGAAAGCTTTTTAAACATCTTGCTACGATGATTTTTCACATAATGCATAAGAAAATGTACCAATTAAAGTTCTTCGTTTCCTTCCTTTCCATGAAATAAAGAACTCTGATTGAATTTCTTATAACTTATGTGTTTTCCGTTCTGCAAGAGCTGTGCTCCTAACTTAAAGGCCGCAGCACAGACTCATGCATAGTGCATAAGAGAATCAACCAATAAAAATTCTTTTCCGGAAGGAAAGGAAGGATTCTGATTTGTTGATTCGCTTATGCGTTATGCAAAAGTCTGTGCTGCGGCCTTAACTGTTCTTTTCCACTCTCAAAATTTGAATACATAAGTCTGTTCACGTTACTAGCATTTTTTGTACTCAACCTCTTTGCTTTCTCTTTTTTTTCAAAAAATGCCCGAATATATATTTATCTCATTTTAAAATGCAAATATTTTTGGAGATTTTAAACAACGCGGACAGACCTCATATAAGTTATAAGACGCTCGATACATTCCACTTAACGATCGCGCATATCATTTCATCCTTATTCAATATTTAATAGAAAGAAATATAAAATTGTATGCAACTGTGACGTTTGGAAGTTCATAAAAGAACATACTTTTCGAGTTTTTCGACCCGTGGAATCGTAGACAGAGCCATCTATCGACGAAGAAGAAGAAGAATGAGGCAGAAATGCAGAATTAGGTTAGATCAGGATCGGGTTAGATTAGGTTGTGTGTCACCACAGATGGGAAGATATTTGCGCTTGAACGAATTTTCTGATAAGTAAAATGTTAAGGGATCGTAAGGACGTACGATCGGTGGGACGTGTTAGATGTACGAATGTCAATCACGAAGTCCCAGCCATCGTGTTGGTCTTCGTGTGCGACCTACCCTAATAAGAAGACTGATACGTGTACTACGCTGTCAAAGCAAACGTGTTGCACGAAGCACCTGGTATGGATTATGCAACGATTGTTGACGACGCGGTCAGGCAATTTTACTCAGCGGGCAGCAACGAGGCGCACTCATGGCTTCTGCAAGTGCAAACCTCGCCCGAGGCCTGGCACTTTGTGTGGCAACTTTTAGATCCTTGCAAGGTACCTATGCCAGCTAGGACTGCTTTTCATTTGTTGACACAACTATTATTTCTTTGTTACTCATTGTATATCAAAAAAGATAGAAGGATGTTTGTGTCAAGTTTTGTAACTAAATGGAAAGCATTCCAGAATTATTTAACTTTCCTTCCTCTGTATTTTGCAAAGCTTCTATCTTCTTACATGTATCTCTTGCGACTTGTGTAATCTTTTTTTAACTGATTACTCCAGAAGTATTACAGTTGAAATAAAACGATTGCTGTATTTTTTATTCTTGAACTTCAAAGTTATAGTAAGAAGTTGGATATATTTTAAAAGTAATGATAAATTATATTATATATATAATTTATTATTGTACAATTTATAAAAATGTATAACAAATACTTTGAACAATATGGATTTCGTTATCTTTTTCTTTTCCTTTAATGATAAAAGTCTGTTATCTCTACAGTCATACGAAGTGCAATTTTTTGCGGCAACTACTCTCCATGCCAAGATATCTAAGCAATGGAATGAAGTGCCTGAAGCTGAGTATCCGGTGTTAAGGGAACGTTTGCTTAATAGTGTGAAAAGACCTAACATACCCTTATGTATCCTTACAAAGCTTTGTCAAGCGGTAATATATTCTTCTTTGTTATTTGAAAAAAGGTCATGTTATAAATAATTAAATTAAAACTATTAAATAGTTTTTCTACATCTAATACACACTACTCCTAGGATGTTATATCAATATTAAAAAAGATAAATAATATTCTTAAAACATGCTAGGAATATTATGTGTTTATTAGTTTTTTACATATCATAATTCTCTAAGAGATGTTCTTAAGACATCTTTTAGAATTCTAATTCTGTTGTGTGGAAAAATTTATATAATTGATTAATTATTTAATATACATATATTTAATATATATATATGCGTTAACTGATTTCAGTTAGCTGCATTTGTGGCCAATGTTTACAGTGCAGAAAACAGGGAACATGATAGGAGTATAGTTGACGAATTGCTTGACATTTTACCTTATGATTCCCCATCTGCGTTAGAATTATTGCTTCGAGTGCTCTCAACGCTTCCTGTTGAGGTAAAATATAAAATGTATATAAGTGGATCTACTTAATTTTTGCTTTTCAATGAGTTTAAACTAATAAGCTTATAATTATTTTCAGTATCAGAAGAGACACGAAGCGAAGAGTGCCAAACTGCGGGAAGCTCTTGTCAACTTGATCAACAGCTGGTGTCAAACCGCGTGGTTCTTGCAGCAGGTCTTTTCAATGTGTAACCCGGATTCTCAAGGCAATGATGGTATATTATATTCCTTGGCACTGGAATGCGCTCAATCATGGCTTAAGATCGGCCAATTATCTTTAGAGACTAGTGGTCAAATCTATCCTTATTTATTAGTAGCTGCAGGTCACTATGCACCTAATAAGTAAGTTGTATTGACAAAATTTATGAATATTGTTAACCTTGCCATGTTCAAATCTATTATATAACTATATTTGAGTCAATATGATTAAAAAAGCTTTAAAAAGATAAAATTTCACAGAAAAATCTTACATTGATATAAAAATGCAAATAGTAGAAAAAAAAGTTTTTAAATGAAATATTAGTAAGAAAAATTATATGTTGGATCATAGTGTGAGAAGACATATTCCCTCATCTTCATCTTTACAAAACTTTATTAAGCAATAACATAGTATTTTCTGTTACTTAAGAAAAACAATTGTAAATAATTAAATAAATCTTTATATGATCTATTAATTATTTACTATATGCTAAATCCAGATCAGTAGGGTTAAATTTAATTGTATAGCGAGCGAGAGAGAATAATAGATGCGGATTATCGAATTATTAAATAAAATATCAATTTTTTTCATTAAAGAGATGAGAATCATGGTGATGATGATAACATCAAGAGCTGGGATATAGTACAAGATTGTTTAATTATGATCGTAACACACTATGAGCTTCATAAACGGCCACAAACTTTCTGGGAATGGGCCAGAAGTTTAGTATTGTTGGCGAAGCAGTATAATAGAAAATACTTTTGTGAGATATTAACCGCTATTGGAGAAGCTCACAGTCGGGCCTTTCTGATTGCTCTGGCTGAGAATTCCAACGAGGCGCATACATGGACAGCTATGGGATTGATCGAGCTATTATTGGAGTGCTCGGAACTGGAGGGACGTTATCCTACCGATGAAACGCGGAGTTGTATTCCATTTGGATTTTGGTACGCGTTACAAGACGATCTTGCTACGTTAGATCAACCGTTAGAGAACCGAGCTTTGGAAGCGTTGAAGCCAATTTATTTCCGACTAGCCCAAGCGTTGCTGCGAAAATCAACGTTACCCACGTCTCCAAGCGAGAGAGGGAACGCGGATGAGCGTGAGCTCTTCAGATGTTATAGGCAGGATGTGGCGGATACATTGGACTATTGTTACAGTGTTCTTGGTAATGATTTGCTGGCACTTCTCGGGCAAAAATTGAGCCTGGAAGATTCACCATGGACTCACATAGAATCAACGTTACACGCCTTCAAAGCTCTATCCGAGAGCGTTGGTACTCAGGAGTACTGTTACATCCCTGCGCTGATAAACTTGATTATCGTTCACATACCTTATCATCTTTATCCCGAAGAGGTATGTATGATCATTCATAGGAAACAATGATTAATTGCAAACCACTCCTCCTTCCAAGCATCTCTAAATATAATTTATTTTTAGTTAACTTGATAATATTTAAAATTCAATAATTTAGAAGAGCTATGAGCTAAAACAATGTCGTTTAATTTCAAGTATAATAGATAAAATAAATTGTTATAATAAATGATAAAATAAGTTATTGATATTTTTCTAAAAAGATATATTTGTGTAATAACAAATATATTCATCACCATCTCATTTCGTCACCAGGTACTAATTTGTGCCTGTTCCACACTGGGCGCATATGCCGAATGGATAGGGGAGCATCCTGAGCCCTGGCTAGAAAAAGTCTTGCAGCTCGTTACTCAAGGACTGACCAGAGGATCTATGACAGCACCGTTTGCGAGTATGGCACTGAAGGATTTGACGAGGGAGTGCGGGCCGTTTCTCGCCCCTTATGCGCCATCCATTCTTCACACTATCAGTCAGACATTACCAAATGTCGAGCCTGGTGGTGGAGAAGGTTTGCGACTCATGTATGCGGCTGGAAAGTTACTTAATGTGTTACCTTCTATGGAGGAGCAACTGTCGCATCTGGAGGCGACGCTGGGACTGTGCGTGACGAAGATCAAGGAGCTACTAGGACAACCATTGTTCACGGCACGGCTTGGTGTGACTAATTATCTGAAGATGGCTACCATGTTCTTCAGCACGATCGAGGGTGCGATCGGCAAAGCTGTGCTGGACGGCGTGTTGCCGGTATTCAATCAGATCATCACACATCCTGAGTGGAGTCAGGACAACGCCACACTAGAGGCAATGCACATGTGCGCGCAACGATCCGTGACTGCTTTGCGACAACCGGAGATTGAGGCACGACCCTTGTTACCAATCCTATCAACTTCGTACAAAATTTGGCCGCATCCAGCTGCGCTAAATCTGCTGAAGCAACTCGTGCTGCTGTTCGGCAGAGATCCAGATAACGTTGTGAGTCCGGTACTTGCGGAAATGAGCTTGTTAACGTTGAACGGCGTGAAAGTGTGCAAATCGGTGCAGGGCGATCTGTCCGAGTGGTCGGACTTGATGGAAGCATACATGGGCGTGCTCGCGCAGATTTGTAAGAAAAACGCCCGGTTATTGCTACAAATTCCGGATCAAATTCCGGATATGTTGCAATGCGGTAAGCGCAACGTCATCATACGTTTCCTTGGAAATATGAAAATCATCATACAATGTAGTTATATTCCTTTTTACAGGGATTACTTGTCTAACGCTTCCGGAGACAGCCACAGCCAAAGCAGCCGGATATTTTCTTAGTCATGCGATTGTGCAGAGCCCGCACCTGCAAACGTTCATTCAACCAATTGGACAGGAACTTGTCGCCGCGATTTTGCATTGTGTCGGTAAGCAGAAAATTTCAGAATACCTGCAAATGCGAAAACAGTCGATCAATTTATTTCTTAATTAATTTTTTTATTTCTTAATTTCAGGTGGAGCAATGCCTCACAATAACTTGGAGCCTCACGCCGAAGTTTTGTTAGCATTAAATAAAACATGTCCGGAATGGACTGCGCAGTGGTTACGCATTGGACTGGAGAATCAAAAGAACCTCGCTGCTGTGTTGCAGAAGGAGGACGTCACGCGCATTTTGCGCGAGAGAACAAATAGGGGACGACTTTGCGATGTACTAAAAGAATTTAATAAACAATGCCGTCAAAAGACAGGTATATGACAATAGAACTTTTGTGATGTCGATTGACAAATTTTACTATACGAAATACCGATTTAAGATAGATATGCAACACACGGACGTTAGTATAATTTATCTTTTCATGTAATAAATGCTGCATAATGTATATAATTGTGTTTTATACAGATTTATTTACTTGGATTGTAAGATATTCATCAATTGTGTGATACAAGCGCTTAGTGTATCGAATACAAAAATGTTCACGTGATGCAAAATAAATAGCGATAATAAAAAGTATATTTACAGTAAAGATAGTAAAATATACAGCCTTGACTAAAAATAAAGCACCTGTGTGTTTTTTTTCATTAATCTAAATTTCTTTTATTTGTATTGTTTTCTATTGGTTACCAGCCATTAAAGTACCATTATATATAAGTAGGATAATTCATAATAAATGCTATACATTCATTTTAGAGTTAAAATGTTTTATAATGGTTAATAAGATATCTCATATTTTTGGCCAAAGCTGTATATAAAAACGAGAAAGTAATGTATAAATCCAATTCCTTTTGTATGTTCCGAGGAATATAAGAATATTAAAAAATGAGTTATTTTGAGTTTTTAATGCGTCAAGTTTTATCGAAGCAATTCAGAATGAAATATATAGGTTTTGTATAAAGTAGGCGACAACTTATATATAAAGTGCAATAATAGCAATAATTTATGATTTAATAAAAGTTTGTTTGGAGATAAGAAAGATGCATAAAACTATTAAAAAATAATATACGAAAATAAAAGATTGCAAAATATATTTAGTAATTATATATTGTGCTTTCTTTATTGTTTAGTAAGATTAGAACACCTTGGAGTTTATGCTCCTGTTTAATTTTGATTTCTGTTTTGCTATTTATAGTACAGAAAAAAGGAACGGAAAAATTCATCAAAGATATACATTTCTATTTACGGACTTAATATCACTTTCTCTCGATGTCTTAAATATACGTACTAACATATATATGTTTAACATTGTGTCGTACGACGACACCTATATGCAAATAGGCGAATATATTGCATTAAAAAGTGGGGTCTTCTAAAAATCGCAATACACTATTAAATGATACAATCAGTCTATTTTTGTAGTCGAATGTTATACTACTTTTTTTGAAAAAGAAAAAATGGCATGTCAAAAATATCAATTCAAAAACAGTACAGATCGATTGTCATGCACACATATGATGTATCTTTTTTACAATAAAATTAATATATTATTAACAAAAAAGGAATATAAAAATTATGTATCTATCAGACATCATATTTAGTTCTGCCATTTGTGTATTGAAATTTAATATTATTTCAATTATTTATTTTAAAATATATCTAAATAAATAATAAAAAATAAGATAATCAAAAGGCTCAGTTGAATAAATTAAAAGAAACAAATAAATTGCCAATATGAGCCAACACAAGTTCTCAGTGTATACTTTTTATACAATTTATTCGAAATAAATAATAAAACGTAAACGTTTCGACCTACAGTTAAGGTCCTCTTCAGTATATATTTAAATGTGAATATAAAAATAACAATTAAAATTAAGATACATCCACGATAGTAGCGTATAAAAACTATATGAACAAGATTTAACTTAATTTGGACATTACCACTTTAGTATTTATAGTTTTTATATGCTACCATCGTGGATGTATCTTAATTTTAATTGTTATTTTTATATTTATTTAATATGTACTGAAGAGGATCTTAATCGTAGATCAACACGCGCGCGCGTTTACATTTTTTTTATTTCGAATAAATTGTGTAAAAAAGTATTGAGAACTTGTGTTGACTCATATTGGCAATTTGTTTGTTTCTTTAAATAAATATTATACTTCTTTTTCATAATTGCAAAATAATTTATCTTGATGAATTATCACAAGATCAAAAAATAAAGTTAATTGGTTAGAAATTACACGCCAATATACATATATATGGTATATCATGATTGTAAGATACAAAATAAACAGTCATTCGATATAAAATAATCATTCTCACTTATTTTGTTTACATCACACGTCCCAAACAACACTAAGTCTAAAATTGTGACATAAGACGTCTTCAAGTTATCTTTTAGATGCAAAAGAGCATCTTATGACTCGATTTTAGACACTTTGTTGTCTGGAATGTTTAAATTTAGTGTATATACATTTAACTTGGAAGGATCTAGTATTGTTTGGTGCACTGACATGCGTATGTAAGTACGAAAAACTTTTGTAGGTACGTCAATATAGTTTTCAAAATGAAATATATACTAGCCTAATAGAAATCTTTTAAAAGATCTGTTTGTTTTTATTATAAAATATAGAAAATGAATGATGATGAGAAAGGATGGATCCGTATAATTATCTTGTATTTACATATAATTTGTAAAGATCTACCCCACGCAAAAAACATAAATTTTTCACTGAGGGGGTTCACCACCATTTAACAAGGGTTGTTTGCCGAATTTTGCGGCGACACGTGATTTTCTGGGCCTGGACGATTTCCCTGCATTTTGTTGTGACTGTTGCTGTGATTGCTGCTGCGGCTGTTGTTTCGGTTGTTGCTGTGGCTCGTTTGACGCTATTTTCTCCCTGGCCTTATTTACAACTTCGGGCTTTTGTTTCTACGCATAAAAAATCGGCAATTTAATTATAAACGTTAAGACAACAAAAAGTAACGATTTTTTAAACTAAAAACCTTGGGCAACGTTTCCTCTTGTTTCTGCTGTTTTTGTGGTTGCTGCTGCGTTTTTGAAGGACTGGACTTTTTGGCATGCGTCTCCTTTGAGGCTTGTTGTACGCTGGCGTTTCTACTCTTTTTCTGAGCCTGTAACGGAACAAATGCAGTGCTATTTTTAATTTCCATCTTTGATCCATTCTGAGGACCTTTCTGTGGTATCTGATGTTTCATTTGCAGTTGCCTGCTTTGGCTATATGATGCGAGTTGCATGAATGCTGGGGTTGGTGGTAATTTTGGGTTCCACTTTGGATAAAATATGTTAGGCTGCATAGGCATATTCAGCGGGAGTGGTGGTATTTTCACAGAGCCCATTGGAGGCATTATAGGAGGTCGGATATTTTGGATCCAATTGTTTTGAGTGTTAAACCAATGAGGTATCATTGGTTTCACTTTCGTATCGTGCATTGATGTTTTATTCAAATTTAACGCCTGACAACAAGAACTACATTAATAAAGTAAAAAAAATACAAAGTTAAAGAAAACTTTTTATGCACTTATCATTACCTTGTATGCTTTTTTCGCAGCGCTTTCTGTGGCTTGTTCATGAGTAGTACAAGGATCGCCCTGAAAAATCCTATTATCCATAAGCATAACATTAGCGCTGATTAAACCCGTTTTTTCGTCAACAACATAATTATATTTTGGTATGCCACTTCCATTATATGAGAAATGTTTCAATAATTGCGTGCTATACCAAACCGCATTTGCTTTCTCCTTTTTCTGTTCTGTTTGTCGGGCACGCTAAACAACGCATATACATCATAAAATTATTAAATAATATGAACACGAAATATAAAGTAACGAAACATATAAATACATACATCGAATAACTGTTGTACTAAAGGTGGAGGATTCTGATCCTTCTGCGGGACCGTTGCTTTTTGAAGCATCGCCGCGGATTGCGGCACAGACTGTTGTGGTATAGATTGTTGCACCATAGATTGTTGAGGCGTACTTTCTTGCTTGTTTGTTTGCAGATTTACGTCAGGAATCTTTAGCACAGCTTTCAAAAATGCGCTAGGATCTTGCGACTGTAACATAACGATCTTTTAGAAATACATCGATAAGGCGTAATTTACAATAAAGAAAAAAAAATACAATATTCAACAATTCTTACCGATTGTACACTGTGATCGTTGCTGAATGACTTGGCTCTCGATGTTGAACTGGATGCAGCAACTTTCTCCGGTGGTCCATTCGGTTTCTATCATAGAGTAAAAATATCTATAAGATTCGTAACGATCTTGTAATTCTACATCGCTACACTCACTTGCATCTTGTGCAATTCGTTCCACAGCGCTTGAAACTCAGACGTTCGATTGGGTGGCGGCGGTGTGTGCTGCGAGGTCTGAGGTAATGTTTTGCACGGTATTGTTTTCGAATTCAATTCTATACCGTGTTGTGCCATACGCAAACAAATATCACGATTTAATTTTTCAAGTCCCTTCTTAGCGAGCTGCATTTGTGGATATGCGTTTAACATTGATTGATCGTTCTTCTTGCTAGGAGAAGCAGAACTCGTTTGCCTCCAGCTTTCCGGCAATTCATTCGCTACATTTCCCTGCTCCATTCTTTCGCCGAAACTAATATTTACGAAGTCCATAGTCGACAAACGATAACCGCGAAATTGAGAGCAACCATTTAATGTAAATCCGCCTGCAATAAACAAAGAAATATTCCATAAAAATTCACATGCACTTAATATCCGAGTTTTGAAAAATTATGAGTTTCTCACCAATAAAAGGCTTATCGAACAAAACGTCGTACATAGTATCATTTGAATTACTTCCATTTCGTACTCCGGTGATAGTACCCTTAGCACCGAGCGGTACACTAAAGCCGTTTCTAACGCAGCGAATTCTATCGAACAAACGATTTTGGGAGTTCGGATCGGGTGACACGTTACGTAAATGTAAATCCGGTTTATAAAGTAATTGCGGCTTCACTTGCATAAAGACCGTTTTTGCCATGGTTTCTTCAGTCTCCAAGTATTTCTCAACTTCTTCTTCGATTTGTTTTATCAAGTACGGTTCGATCACATCCATCCCGCAAGTGCGACTTTCTAAACCATTCAGTTCCATTTTCAACCATGCAATTGTATCCTTCAGCTCGTCCGAACTACAATAAGTTAAATTAGACTGTTATATTGTTAAAATTTATTAAATAAATAAAAAACCAAATACGGTCGATGCTAGATCTTGGTGTTGAATAGGTACCTAAGATTTAGCTTCAATCACATTTAACTCTTCTTTACTTATTGAATTCATCTGACTTATTAATGTCCACGCGTTGCATTATTATTATAATTTATCAAAACATTATGCATATATTTTAACATAAGAAAATATGAAATATACCCCTTTGTGAATAACTCTTCTTCTTGGAAAATATCGTTTGCTACATTCTGGGCTAAACGTTCGAACAAATAAGGACATTTTGTCATGTAATTCCGAAT